TCTCTCTCTCTCTCTCTCTCTCTCTCTCTCTCTCTCTCACCTTGTATTTATTCATTAGTGTACATATTGTATCCATCCATTCCCCTTCTTTATACAAATTCCTTGAAGTCAAGGACTACTCCTCCCCTCCCCTCCTTTCTCTTTGCCTCCCCTGCTCTCCTTCCCTCCCCTCCTATCTTCTCCCCTCCTCTCCACTTCTTCACTCCTCTCCCCTCCCATCCCCTCTTCTCCCCTCCTTTTTTCCCTTCTTTTCCCCTCCCCTCCCCTCTCCTTCCCTCTCCTCTCCTCCCCTCTCCTCTCCCTACCTCTCCCCTCCCTTCCTTCTCTCTCCTCTCTCTTCCCTACCTGTATCCTTAGTATCTAATAACATGTCTGGCATGTAATATTTGCTTAATAAATGTTTGTTGAATTACATTGAATTGAGAGTCAAAGGCATACAAGAACAGGTCCTCAAAGAACAAAGCACCAACTAAATGCTAAAGAAAGGACCAGTTGAATATCAAGGGAAATATAATTAATGATACTCCACTGGGTTAGGCAGAGAGCCCATACTGCAAGAGGGTTTTTAAAAAGCCAAGGGATGGACAATTGGGAAATAACAGAGGCCATTGTAAATGAAGCCAATGTGAAAAATCCAATACCTGGCTAAGTAGAGGCCAACCAGCCTTGGTGTCTCCGAGGAGACTCAAAGATCACACTCCTTGGGCCCTGACAGCTGTTGAGAGACCTAGTGGAACTCCAGGATCGCTCAAGGATGGAAAGGACCATGGCTGGTTGTTCAGGGCCAAGATGCTGCCTCTGTGAGGAAGCATTCCCAGAGGTCCTCCCCTTCCCAGGAGGAACAGTGGGAAATCCAGAACTCCTGCAGAGTGTTCAACATGTGCAGGGAGGTCAGTAAACATTTTTTAGGTCAAAGAATCACAGAATGTCCAAGTCAGAAATTACCTCAGAGGCCATGTGGTCTAGTCCACATCAGACTGAGACTCTCCTCCTCACCATAACCAAGAAGTAGCCTTTTAGCTTTGCCCTAGAAACCTCTCAAGATGGGGACCCCTACTATTCCCCTTTGTGGACAGCTCTCATTAATAACAAGGGTTTTCTGACCTAGCATACATTGGCCTCTACAGCATCCACCGTCTCCTCCTGGTGCTACTCTCTGGGGATAAATGGAAAGAGTTTAATCCCTCTTCTCTATAGCACCTCTTCAATCTTGAATCAAACCTTCACTTCCTCCCCCTCCCCCTTCCATCTTCTCTTTTCTGAGAGTAATATCTCCTAGATCTTCTAACTTACTCTCATGCAATGTGGTACTGAGATCTTCTTTATCCCAGTTCCCCTTTTTTGGACACTTTTCAGATTGGCAAGGTTTTACATAAGATGTGACATCTCAAACTGAAGACTGTCCCCTAGATGTGGTTTGAGCACAGTGGGACAATTATCTCCTGGGCCCTGGAGACAATATCCTTCTTAATGCTGTTTGTGTTTGCTTTAGCTTTTCCCACTGCTGTATCACACTGTTAGGTTGCCTTATATGGGACTTGAAAGCCCCTAAGACCCCAAGTCCTCCTTTAGATGGACTTCTAGCTAGCCATGCCTCCTTGATGAGCTCATGAAGATAATTGAACCCAAGTCTAAGACTTGACCCAACCCTTTCTTGCTAATGATCAAGCTCAGAAGGCCATGCTGAGGCCACAAGACCACATGTGTTGATAGGTTTGGGAGAAGATCACAAAGACAGGCAGCCTCTACTGTCTGACGTAGGGAGAATCCCAGAGTTCTGAGGGTCTCTGTCTTATCCTTACCTTGGATGCTCGAAGAGCTGTGACAAATGAAATATCATTCATTGAGAGCAATGCAGCATTAGTAGAAGATTTATTGGGTCAGGCATAGGTAGAAGGCTTACCCACAGCAATGAAACCATGGATCCTTTCAAGCAGGGAAGAAAATATAATGCAGAGGGAATGGTCCTGTACTTGGAGGCAGAGGGCCTGTTCAAATCCAGGCTCTTCTACTTTCTGTGTGACCTTGAGTAAGTAATTTGACATTTTACATCTCAATTTGAATCAATTTTACTCTCTTTACAACTTACTCAATTTTACATCTCAATTACATCTCCCATGTTCAAAGCCTTCCCCAGATGCTGATGAGCAGTGTGATCTAGGCAAGCCACTTCTGCTTTTCAAACTCAGTTTCCTTATCTATAGAATGGGGATAATAAAGCCCCTATGTCACAGGACTTGCATCCTCTGACCCTGGCCCATGCTTTCTTGTCACTGTGCTTTTGTTTACATTGTCACCTAGGATTGCTTCTCATTGCCTCTTCCATATCTATTGAATTCCTATCAATCTTAAAATCCACAACAATGGTTCCCTGGTAAAGTCCCCCCTTATGCTGCAGTTGCTAATGCTGCCCCACTCTCCCCAACTTTGAACTTTCCACAGCACTTTTCTTATACTCATCGTATATTCTTTCGTATTATAGTCGTTTGTGGGAGGTGAGGGCATATCTTTTCTAAATTCTTATCTAAATCTTAGAGGTGATTAGATGGTATAATGGATAGAGCACTGCACATGGTGTTGGGCAAGACCTGAGTTTGAATACTATCACAGATACCTATTAGCTGTAAGACCCTGGGCAAGTTACTTCATCCCTCTCTCAGACTCAGTTTTGTTGTTGTTCAGTCATTTCACTCATGTCCAACTCTTTGTGACTCCATTTGAATTTTTCTTGGCAAAGATACTGGAGTGGTTTGTCATTTCCTTCTCTAGCTAATTTTACAAATTAGGAAACTGAGACAAACAGTTAAGTGACTTGCCCACAGTCACACAGTTAGGAAGTGTCTGAGGCCAGATTTGAACTCAGGAAGTGGAGTCTCCCTGACTCCAGGCCCAGCAGTCTATCTGAAGCACTTATTTACCTTCCTATAGCCTCAGTTTACTCATGTATAGAGTAGGTAATAATATCGATGTCTTCAGGGTATTTTCGTGAGGATCAAATGAGATAATATATGGAAAGCTCTTTGCAAACATTAAAGTCATATATATACATATATTAACTATTATTATTGTCATTAACCTTACCTAGAACCTATCACAGTGCTCTGCTTAAAATAGAAACTTTATAAATCTGTTGATTATAAATTCTGTGTGTATATACATGTCATATATGTAGTGTCAATAATAACTAATCAGTAATAATTCAGAGTAGGCACTTAATAAATATATTAAATAAAAATTATATATATATATATATAGCATCAATAATAGCTAGAATTTCTCAAGTGTGTTTTCTGTTTATAATAATTACTGGTATTTACATAAATACTCCAATGTTTGCAAAGCTCTCTACATACGTTTTCTCATTTGCACATTATAACAATCCTGTAAGATAGATGTCCTAGGTGTCTTTAATCCCCATTTTAAAGAGAAGGAGGCTGAGGACTGGGGGGCTTCAGTTACTTCCCCATGCTCACACAACCAGTAAATGTTGGAGGCAGGATCTGAATCCATTATTTACAATACCAAATCCAGTGCTCTATCCATTGTACCACACCACCCCTTCTAAGGAACATTGAGTGGCACAGAACATTGAATACTTTTTGATGTTATTTCCTGCCCCAAACTAGAGTTTTTATTTCCTGGAGATCTTCTGAATCCAGCCACAGTTTTGGAGTCGACCACAAAGTTACTGCATTGGAATCCTGTCTTGTTGAAATTGAGATACAAAATATATAACTCAAGGAAAAGAAAATCTGTTTGCCTTTTAGGTGGTATTGATAGACTAGCTAGATCTTTCCACCAGCACTTCTGCCTGCTTCCCTCTGTAGAATACCCCAATCTTTTCCCCTTCTCTTCATCCTCAGGGCATTTCCTTGATGAATCAAAGGATTCTCTGCTGAAGACCTGGTATTGGCAGAGTACTTGAAAAGTTTTCCTCTTGCAGCAGATGGTCTGCTATCAGTGTTTGGAAGTTACATGCGCTTTCCCTGAGTTTGGAATCCAGCTAAAACATCCCTCATGAATGTTTGCTTCTCATTGGAAGCGCTGGGTTATTCTGTGAGACTTCAGACTTTCCTTTTGACTGGCATGGCCGCCCTGAATTTGCTATTCTCATCCAGCATTGAGTATTTAGGATTCCAAAAGGTTCTTAGTGGCCAGTGTTTTTTCATAACCATTTTTTTCATGTGCTATTCTGTTGTCCAAATCTTGAAAATATAGGTGGTGCTAGTAACCTCCTTTTCCCTTCTCCTTCCCTTGTTGATTGTTTATGCTAGGTGTCCAAGAAAAGTCTGTCATTTTGGTTTGCTTTTCTGAGCCCTGGGCTCTGGAAACTGTGTTCTTGACCTCTGTTGGGTGAAATACAGAATACAGAAGGCAGTGAGTGCTTTAGATATGAAGGCAAGCAACATGAGTTGGTCAAATCCCTTCCCCACTGGGCTTTAGTTTCCTCATCAGGAAAACAAAGGGACTGGACTAGATTAGTACCCTTCCAACTCTAAATCTGTGAACCTATGAAATACTTTTATGATGTAAATTGTGATATGGAGGAAGCCTGGTGTAATAGGGAAAAAAAAAGTCCTGGTCTTTGTATCAGAAAGCCCAGGTTCTAATCTCAGCCCTGTTACTTTTTAGCTAAGTAATTGGCCTTCACTTTCCACATCTGTGAAATGAAGAGGTCTAAGTAAGACTGGCCTAGATGGTCTCCAAGGCCACTCCTAGCTCTACAGTCTACAGCTCTGGGCTCCCTAGTGTCCTTTCTGTTTCCAAAGTGCTGTGCTTTTCTTGTACATTGGGTCTAGATTCCACCATGTTGAACATCACTATGAATATTAGATGTTATTGGAAGTTACATTGTTACTCTAGTTGAGTTTTACTTTGAGGGAGGCATATGTGGCCTATCAGAGGACAACAAAAGTCATCCCTTGCTCATGTTTCCTCTCTCTGTCTCTCTCTCTCTGTCTCTCTCTGTCTCTCTCTGTCATTTTCTGCTATCTTCCCAGCCTGCGACCTGATGACACAGGGCATCCTGGCCTTAGTTACGTCCACAGGCTGTGCATCTGCCAATGCCCTGCAGTCGCTCACAGATGCCATGCACATCCCGCACCTCTTTGTCCAACGTAACCCTGGGGGCTCCCCCCGAACAGCATGCCACCTGAACCCCAGCCCAGAAGGGGAGGAGTACACACTGGCTTCACGTCCACCTGTTCGCCTCAATGATGTCATGCTCAAGCTGGTCACAGAGCTACGGTGGCAGAAATTCATTGTGTTCTATGACAGCGATTATGGTGAGTGTATGGGCTATATTTCCTCTCCTTTCATGGGCTGGTTGGACAAGCATTCAAGAGATCCACCAATGATGCTCCTTTTCTCCACCCCAAGGATTTTACCTTCATTGCCAACCCTGCTCTACATCATAGCAAACATTGACTTTGAACCTCTCCTTTTTCAGTCCATTCACATTTTGGGATCAAGCAGGAAGAAAGGAAGCCAGGGAAGCTAGATAATCAGTAAACTGTTACTTTATTCCTTAGGTAATGAAGAACTCATTTTTCTCTATTTGTTAAGGGAATATAGCTGAGAAATTAAAACTTAAAGTAACCTCTCCAGATAGGCAGCAAAATTACGAGAGAAAAAATCACCTAGTGAGAGCTCCAGTTTGGCTTATCTTTGCATTTTTAAAAACAAAATGTTAATTAACTGCTTTTGTGGAATGGCATGGATTTGTGTCAGTAGGCAGTGGAGGAAAGCACAGACCCTCTAGTCATCAGCTTATCAGGGCATTCCCATGATGATATATTTGTTTTTCAAATATTTTATTGCTTTTGATTTTTTCCCATGGCCTTGTTTCTTGCCTATGCCCAACATTTTTTTTTAAACTAGTCTAGATACATAGGAGAAACAGTGTTATGTAGTAAAAAGCTGACCTTGGAGCAAGGAGGCCTCTGACACATACTGGATGTGGGACTCTGGGCAGGTCTCAGTGCTCAGGACTAACCTGTCAGTTTTTCAGACAACTCTCTCTCTTCTTTTTTAATGTTTTTTTTTCTTTTTTAATGAATAGAAATCTATTTTCTCTCCCTCTCTCTCCCACCACAAATATATATAGTTATTCAAAACAAATTACATCATTGGCTATGTGTGTATACACATATATACATATACCTACATTCACATATATATTCATGTATACACATATACACACATTTTGTAGAGATTATACTGGACTGCATTTGCAGATGGAGTTTCTTTACCTGATAGCGCCCAGTTCCAATGAAATCAGAAGTACAGATCCATCCATTTCCCAGTCCCTCCCCATTTTCCATGTACTCTCTCCAGGTTCATAGGCCTGGAGTGATTTTTCTGGGGAGGGAAGCATGTGGGTTGGGACCTGATGTGTTGAGCCCCTGAGTATAATCAAGGGCTCTATTTCAGTGACTGAGATGTCAGACCCACCCTGAGTCCCCTGAGAGTATGTCAGTCTTGCTGTAAGCAAGGTTCTAACCATTGATTGTCACGAAGCTGCCTTAAAGTAAAGTCACCATCGGCTTTTTGTTCAGTGACAAGAATATCATTTTTAACAACAGAGCTTTAGCCCTTGAGGTGAAAGCAGACAAGCGTTTGCTAACAGAGCTGAAGAGGTACCAGTGTCATATGCCACAGGAGTGTCCTTTGCAAAGATAAAGGACCTCTTCGTAAATGACATGTTTCTACATCAAAATTCATCCTAGGCTATTGAGCCTTACCAAATGCTATTCATCCCAGACATGGGATGGGAATTGCCATAGGTCAGTATGGATGTTTCACCAGGGACTGACCCTTGGCAGTGAGGGCATGGGGAAGAGGCCAAAAACTGGTGTGGACACAACAGAGGAATTAATGCTAGTTAGTATAATTGTGGAACAAGCATTTGTATTAGTGTGGATGTGGAAAAGAGATTGCTGCTCTTTGGTGTTTACGTGGGACGTAGGTTGGCATGGTAACCATACCTTAATTCGACTAAATCAGAAATTGATTCTATTTTATAGATTTACTCCAGCTCTAAATGTTGGGCTGCAGATGATTGTTGTTGTCAGTATAGGGTACACCAGGCTCCAAGTATCTGGAGACAGCCAGAGGGCAAAGAAAATCTGCAGGGATACTTTCATTTGGTTGGTGCTGAAAGGCAGCTTAGACAGGAAATTGGCTTCATCCATCCTGGCAGCAGGAGGGTGACCCTAAAAGCCAGCAGATAAGTCCAGCACATAGCTAGTTATCACATGCAAACTAGAGGCTAGTTTTCCCATACACCGTCCCCCTCCATTACGCCTAATACTAGTGTCTTCTCTATGTGGATTATCTCCAATTTAACGTGTATATATTTGCACATAATTTTTCCATGTCTTCTCCTCCATTAGACTACAAGCTCCTTGAGAGTAGGGACTGGTGTTTTGCTTTTTTTTTTTTTTAAACTTTCTTCTTATCCTCAGCCCTTAGCACAGTACCTGGCACATAGATGCTTAACGAATGCTTCTTGATCAATTATTTATTGCTCAGAAGACTTCTTCATAGTGCCATAGCTCTGTATGTGTTGGCTAAAAGTATTCACAAGATCTAGTCTGCTTTAGATCTCTATTCCTGTAATATCTGATAGTTTAGCTCCTCATCCCCCATATTAGACTGTATGTTTCTACTGAACAGATAGGAGTAACTAACTGGTTTATTGTTTTTTCTGCATGTCCTGGACAGTATGGTTCCTTTGTGGGCCCTCACTAGTGTACTAGTGCTATTGGTCACAGAGAGGAAACCAGACACAGCCTGGGATAGTTGAGATACCAACAGGTATCTTGCCTATGATGAAAGCTGTATCATAAATTAAGTCTATTCCTAGGCTTTTCTCTGAGAACTATTAGCATGTACCTTGGCACACTAGTAGAGTTAGTAGACTAGCACTATGGAAGAAATACCCGCCATCATTGTTGCCTTGAAAGATAGCTATCTAGAGCCTGCACCACGCTCTTTAAATTCCTTTAGTCATTTTTAGCTATTATAGTTTGCTTCCTCGAAGTATAATTTATTCTCTGATGTATTTAACTAAGAAAAGAAATAAGCATGTGTTTGCATATGCCTAAATACTCTGCTTTCCTAAGACCCATAATATTGTCCTGATCTCTTGAGCAAATATTCCATTTCAAGCCTTCCAGGAAGGATTGAAAGAGCAAACAGTCACTGTGCTGAAATAAAGACGAATTGGTGACAAAGGAAAGGAAGGGAACCATAACCAATCTGGAATAAGCCGTTTTCCAGCTCCATTTCCTTTTCTTCTCCTTGGGGTCCTGGGCTTACAGGTATGGGAGGCCAGGTAATAGCCCAAAGACCCTTGATGCATTTCTCTTTGTACACTGGCCTTCATCTGAGAATCTTTCAGGCATGATGCCTATCCAGAGTAAACTTGGGGCTGCTAGCACAGGCGTTCACAAAGGCATGCTGAGGTTAGGGCCGCCTGGGCTCACAGCCAAGCTTGATACAGTTGAGTAAGTTGAGGGGTGAAGGTAGGAAGCATGGCTAGTATACCAAAGACTGCTGTTCTAGGTGGAGGCTTGGTAGAAAATCAGCTGTCATTTATTGATGCCTGACGCTGTTTGTTATAGAGTAGCAGGGATTTGTGTCAATAGGTAATAGAGGATAGCATAGGTCCTCTAGCCACCTGCTCACCAGGGCAATCCTGTAATGCTGCCTCTATTTTAAAAATATTTACTGCCTTTGACTCATTCCCTTCTGGACAATATGCTTACCCCCTTTCATTCCACTGCTTTGGACCACTGTTCTCATTTCTAATTCATAGCTTTGGCCCAGCCCTCAGCATACAGGCATGTCTTTAACTCAACTTGCTTAGGCCATGACCTTCTACTCCCCTTACTTCCTTCCCCCTCCATTCTTCCTCTCTCCTTTGGCCTGTTAATCATTAGCATTTGTTAGACTATCTCTGTGAGGGACAAGGACATGACAAGAGGCAAGAGTTGGACCACAGCATGCTTCCTCATCTTTTTTCCCCTTCTCTCCCTCTTCCTCTCTCTCCCCCATTAGGTGACGTTCATAGTCAGCAGGTCATGGGATTATAGTCCACTCTTATAGTCCACTTATGGTCTTATAAGTGGGCTTATATTCCACTCTTCTCATTTCACAGATGAAGAAAATGAGAGAGAGAGAACTTATGATTCAACTAAAGTTACATAGGTAGGAAGCTATGGGACCAGAATTCAAGCTCCAATTCTAGCATACTTTCCACCAACCTGTGCTACAGATCACAGTGGCTCATTGGTGTTAGGAAACAGATGAGAGGTCAAGCTAGACAAGGAATCTGGTTATAACTTATCACATGAAGGCTACATGGGTTCATGCAAGTTATTTATGTCGGGTCATATTCTGCTTGACCCTGTCCTCTGAACTGGTCCAAACCTCCAGCAACTCAGTAATGTCCTGTGCCAGTGCAGACCTTTTGGCTTTCATGGAAAGTATCATCTGATGGGTTTCATTTATATAGCTCTTTCAAGCTTATGATGCACTTTACATATATCATCCCATTTGATCCTTATAACAATCCTGCATGGTAGGCACTGTTATTATCTCCATTTTCCTGAAGCTGAGGTTAAATGACTATTTGCCCATGATCACAGCTAGTAAATGTCAGAGGCAGGATTTGAATCTAGGTCTTCTTGACTCCAAGTACAAGACTCCATTAGTACCTTGCTGCCTAATTATACAGATTAGCAATCTGAAAATTGGATCCTCTTATTTAACATATTAGAAAACTGAGGTCTAGGGAAGTCAAGTGACTTGTCCAGGGTTCTACAGATGTGACAGACACTAGTCCTCACTCTTGGGCTTCTCCCTAGTCCCCAAGTGTTGGGATTGATTGAGTGTCATTGGTAGATGGTCTCTATCAATTCAGGGACATGAAGATGTTGACCTGACTTCTAGGTTCTTTCCTCCTCCTCCCCCATCTCCTTCCTATCTTTCTCTACAAGTCCTTACCACAAACAGAGGTCAATCAAAAAGTCTTTCAGTGCCAAAGCAGATCTGTGAGTGAGTGTGGCCAGGATGGCAAAGAGCAGGATCAAATAATGATGGTGGCTGGCAACTTCTAGTAGTCGGAAGTTCTTTATGGCCTTGGGTGGAGACAGAATCCCGACTCTGTACTGTCTGTATAACCTTAGGAAAGTCATGTGACCTCTCTGGGCCTTGTTTTCCTAGAATAGATGATCTTTAAGATCTCTGCCAGGTTTAAATCCTGCGATTGTAAAGATAT